TGCTTCGTCTCGCCGGGGGCCACTCTCCCCACAGGAGCTGCGTGAGTGGTTTGCCGGGCGCTGGAGGCGTGCTGCTGGTGCTGGTGGTTCTTCGGCTGCAGAGGGCACTGCTGCTGCGCGCCCCGCCGGTGCTCGTACTGTGGGTGCTGGAGCTGCTGAGTCTGAGAGTTCTCCTGGAGCTGGTCCTGCTGAGGGTGTTGGCGCTGAGCCTGCCGTTGGCGGCCCGACTGACAGTGCTCCTGGTGCTGCGGCTGGAGGTTTTGGAGCTTCTGGTGGTGCTGCTGGAGGTGCTGCTGGAGTGGGTGCTCCTGCCGGGGCTGCTAGTGCTGTTCCTGCTGTTTCTAGCGTCGCCACGCGGCCCCGACCGTACTTCGTTCCGCTCCTGCAGCAGGTTCTTGGTCTTACACCTCCTCCTCCTCCCTTAGAGGGTCTGCAGCCTGTCCGGTCCCAGCCACAGCTACAGCCTGCCTCCCCTTTGCCTGCTCCTTCTCCCTACGCTGGTCCGACTGGTGGTCTTACTGAGCGTCGTGAGCCTGCGTCTCGTCCTGTGTCGCCTGTTCGTACTGAGCGCGCTAGTGGTCGCGGGTCACGTCAGCGTCCTCCTCCTGTCCCTGGCACGCACCGGATGTCACTGCGTCCGTCCACTGCTCCTCTGCGTGCCCCTTTGCCTTCTCCTCCTGCTTCCTCTCTTCCTGCTCTTGCCGACCCGGAGTCAGACGCTCTCCGTGCTGCCAGTCCTACTGTCACGCGTCTCCTGGCTACTGCTGTCACTGACCCTTCCTTCGAGTCGTCTGCTGCGTCTGCCCTTGTCACTGAGCTTGTCGACTTTGCTGCGCGCTGTCGTCTAGACTACGCTGCTGCCCTTGTCACTGAGTCTGAGTCCGCCTGTCCTCCGTCCGTCGGGGGTGAGTGTGCCCTTGGCACGGACGTCCTTGAGGACAGGCAGGAGGAGTTCCAGTGTCTGGCCGCCGCTTCACCTCGTCTCGCGTCTGTACTGCTAGCCCCTGAGGGAGACCCGGATGCACCAGACATCCCGACTCCGCGCTCTTACGCGGAGGCGATAGAGGGACCCTACTCCTCTCAGTGGCAGGCAGCTATGGATGCAGAGATGGCTTCCTGGAAGTCCACAGGCACCTACGTTGACGCTGTTCCCCCTCCTGGGGCAAACATCGTCAGTGGCATGTGGATTTTCAGGGTGAAGCGGCCGCCGGGTTCTCCGCCTGTCTTCAAGGCGCGTTACGTGGCTCGTGGCTTCAGTCAGCGGCAGGGGGTTGACTACTTTCAGACCTTCTCCCCCACCCCGAAGATGACCACTCTTCGGGTTCTGCTACACGTTGCTGCTCACCGTGACTACGAGCTGCACTCTCTCGACTTCAGCACAGCTTTCTTGCAGGGCAGCCTGCACGAGGAGATCTGGCTGCGTCGCCCACCTGGCTTCACTGGGTCTTTCCCTCCTGGTACCCAGTGGAGTCTCCGGCGTCCAGTCTACGGTCTCCGCCAGGCGCCACGTGAGTGGCACGACACACTTAGGACTACGCTCGCGGCACTTGGGTTTGCTCCTTCCACTGCCGACCCGTCGCTGTTTCTGCGCACCGACACCTCTCTGCCGCCGTTCTACATCCTCGTGTACGTCGACGACTTGGTCTTTGCCACAGCTGACACTGCTGGACTCGCCTACGTGAAGTCCGAGCTGCAGAAGAGACACACGTGCACTGACCTGGGTGAACTGCGCAGCTACCTTGGCTTGCAGATCACCCGGGACAGAGCACGCCGCACCATTACCCTGACTCAGTCACACATGGTGCAGCAGGTCCTTCAGCGCTTCGGCTTCACGTACTCCTCGCCTCAGGCCACTCCTCTGCCTACTCGCCACTCGCTCTCAGCTCTGCCTTCGGATGAGTCCGTAGAGTCGAGTGGTCCGTATGCAGAGCTTGTTGGCTGCCTCATGTACCTGATGACCTGCACACGACCTGACCTCGCATACCCTCTTAGCATTCTCGCACGCTTTGTTGCTCCTGGGAGACACCGACCAGAGCACATGGCTGCAGCGAAGAGGGTGTTGCGCTACTTGTGCAGTACGTCGGGCATGGGGCTAGTGCTTGGAGGGCGCAGTCCAGTGGTCCTCACTGGGCACGCAGACGCTTCTTGGGCTGACGACCAGGCTACGCAGCGGTCGTCACAGGGTTACACCTTCAGCCTTGGTTCCGGCTCTGTCTCGTGGCGGGCTACCCGCTCGTCTTCTGTTCTCGGCTCCAGTTGTGAGGCTGAGATCTACGCTGGGGCTATGGCTGCACAAGAGTTACGCTGGCTCACCTACCTGCTGACCGACCTTGGAGAGCAGCCTCGTTCTCCTCCAGTCCTGTACGTAGACAACAAGGCCATGCTGGCCTTGTGTCGAGAGCAGCGACTGGAGCACAGAACGAAGCACATTGCTCTTCGCTACTTTCTTGCTCGTGAGCTACAGCAGCGTGGACAGCTGCGACTTGCGTACGTGGCCTCTGAGGCCAACACTGCTGATGTCTTCACCAAGGCACTTGCGCCTTGTGATCATCAGCGTTGCTGCACGCAGTTGGGTCTTGTGCCTGTCTTGCCTCACTTGCTCTCCTCTTGACCTTGCTTGTACTTTCGCATATATATACTCTTGCTCTTGTATATCTCTATATATGATCTTGCATGTGAACTGGCCTTGTGGCCTTTGAACTTGTGCTCGGAATGCGTGGTGACTTTGTGATCCACCCTGAGCTTTGCTTTGCTTTGCTTGACCGGTCTTGTGACCCCTTGTTCTCCCCCACTTTGCCTATGGGGGTGTGTCAGAACTCATAGCTTACTTGTTTCTGTAGGCTATAGTGGGGTATCCCATAGGGGGTACAACCCAATTAGGGTTTCCTATTTGTACTCACTTCATCCATAGTCATTCCCCTCCTCGTTCGTACTTTCTCACGACCCATTTTTCACGACCGGAAATTCACAGCAACTGGCAGAAGCAAAAGGAGTCTATTACGTAAAAGCAGGCACCAACCGCATTTGGGTACCCGCGTACTCACTACTGAGGGAGCTGCTACTACAGGAGGCACACGACGGGATTACCTCGGGACATTTCGGGGTAGAAAAAACGCGACAGCAATTGCAGCGGTACTATTACTGGCCGGAGCTGTTGACCGACGTACAGCAGCACGTGGGCTCGTGCCCGACGTGTCAGGTGATGAAGAGTTCAAGGAAGCGGAAGGCGGGTGAATTGCAGCCGATCCCACCGCCCGAACGCGCCTGGCAGCAAGTAACCATGGACTTCGTCACAGGGTTACCTTCGAACCCTGGGGGTAACGACGCGGTGATGGTCGTCGTGGATAGGCTGACGAAGATGGCACACTTCGCTGCGTGCAAAAAGTCGATCTCGGCCGAGGAGACCGCTCGCCTGTTCATCGCAGCCGTTGTTCGCCTGCACGGGATACCAGCAGCAATTATCAGCGACAGGGACACGAAATTTACCAGCAACTTCTGGAAGAACCTCTGGGAGCAGTTCGGGACCAGGCTACAGTTCAGCTCGTCGTACCACCCCGAGACCGACGGCCAAACGGAGCGGACGAATCAGACGATGGAGCAGTTGATTCGTGCCACGTGCGACGACCCCACGACCTGGGAGCAGCAGCTGCCGCTGATCGAGTTCGCGTACAACAACGCCACATCAGCCACGACGCAGCAGTCCCCGTTCTACCTGAACTATGGGCAGAACCCCACAGTGCCCATGACGCCGAGTCCGGACAACCCAACGCCACGCGCACAACAATTCGCCGAAATCCTGCAAGCTGCCCGCGCCAGAGCCGCCGAAGCAATAAAAAAGGCCAACGTCATCGCTAAGCGCAACGCTGATCGCCACCGCCGCCCCGTCACGTATCAATCTGGAGATTACGTGCTACTCGACAAGCAGAATCTGCGACTGCCCGACGTACCAAAATTACGACCACGCTACTGTGGACCATTCCAAATCAGTCACATGATCACACCCGTCACCGCACACCTACTGTTGCCAACCGACTGGTACATCAGCCCTTCGTTCCACGTCAGCCTACTTCGCCCATACATCCCGACCACAAGTCAACTGCCGCGTCACCGGCCACAATCAATGACTCGCCCTGCATCAGAGCCGATCATCGAGCCCGAAAAAATTCTGAGCCATCGGATCCGCCACCCCACGGGAATCAGGAGGATTGAATTCCTCGTTCGCTGGAAAGACCGCACGCCAACTGAAGATAGCTGGGTGCCCCTGAGCAACATCGAAAATCACCCTGCCCTGCAAGTGTACCTGAGGAGCCGGGGATTCCGCGATATACACGCACTCGCGTAGCGGAGGGGGCTTCTTGGGGGGGGGGGGAGTGTAAGGAATTTTCTCGGCATTCCTTACGGAGCCGACTACATCGCGTACAGCAACAGCCGATTGTTCGCCCGTTACTGCTAACGGAACTTCGCCGACTTCGCGCGCACTGTTTTACCAAACCTCGCACTGCTGGCATGGCCGTATCGGCCTACGCTTCGGGACTAGCCCGAGCCTCGCTCCAGCGTAGCACTAGCAAGCTCGCACGCACCGCGTTACCGTTTTGCATGTTTCGCGTATAAATGTTCGCTCATGCCTTCGCTCACATTTTGTACTCGTTTGACACCTTAGTGCAATTCTCGCTACCTCGATTCATTGCACCCGTAACAGTTTTGTATAACAGTAGTGACCCCAGTCAAGCAGGTTCCACCATGCACATGTGGCAACTGAATATACTTATACCTATAGAAGAACAGAAATCAGACACGGTACTGTACCGTACATATGATAGAATAGACCCAGCTCACAAAGCAGTTGCAGGAAAGATCCAAAGAATATGACCAAACAAACCCCGCGGATCCTTCCACCACGGATATGGTGGAACCAAGAATCTGATCCACATGCTTCATTCGTCGAAGCTCCACCAGCATACAGTAGGCCAAAGCCCCCTCCACTGACCAGCCATGCTCACTCACTCCCAAGGCCAGGCAGCAACACCGTCACTCCCAAGGCCAGTCGGGACCGATACCAGTGCAGCTGGTATCCCACTCGGTGTTGCAGCATCATTAGCAAAAGCATTTCTGGCGAAACCGACACCGGAAAATGCATTACTAGCAAAAAAACTCCTCCCAGATGCGGCAGCCGTCATGATAACCCTCTCTAGCTCCATCACTCTCCTCTCCAACGCATCTACATACCCTACAGCTCTGCCCAGCATCGCGCATGTGTCCCCTCGCCCCCTCACCTTCGCCCTCAGCCTCTGTAGCTTCTCACTGATCCTCTCCCTCCTCCTCCGCTCTGCCATGCTCCGGCTCTTAATCCTCTTGTTCGGCGCCGAACCTATCCTCACGCCTTGGCACCGAGGCAGCCACTCGTCGCCTGTGCCACACTCGTCTGGCATGTTGCTGCGCTCGTGGCCCTTGGGATCATCCAAAGCATCGTCCGTGCGGCACTCGTCGTGCACGTCGCAGTTGAGGCCGTTGGTCTCGCTCTCATGCCTCACCATGTGCTCATCCTGAGGCGACAATTGGGTCGACACTAAAGTCACGTCGACGTGTTCTTTTGTGCACATGCCTTCCAGGTCACCATTCTGTTGGGTCCTCACATGTGGCAGGATATGAGGGTTAACGTTAACAACCATGGCAGGGTGCATGATAGACGCCGCTACCGCAGGGGGTCCCTCTGGGTTTGCCTGAAAAAACGAGGCACTGCCCGGCCCAAGCACGCTCCGGCTGTAGCACGCATGGGAGGCCTGCCTGGCGTGCTGCTGCGTGTGAGCTGCGGCTGTAGCGCAACCAGTGGGGCGCTCTGGGCTTTTCCTCTTCCTTCCCGCATCGCTCGCTGAGTTGGTGGCAGTGCTGCTGAAAAGGCTACTGTTGGTGCCACGCGCTCCCACCATCACATTGCTATTGTGGATCCCGTTGCTCATGACACTGCTGGGGTTGGTGCTACTGCCACGCAGAGCAAACTCAGGGTCACTGCCACCACGGCTGCGGCTCCTTTCCATATGTCGCCCTCCCATGTGCTCCAACCGACTAGCAACATGCAAAGCGCCATCTGGGCCGTATCTAGGAGCAAAGGTAGAAGCAAGGGTGGTCTCCACTTGCTTCGCTGATGTTCCGGCCTCTGGAAAAGCCGAGAAAGCTGACAGCCAAACCTCCTCTTTCCCTCCTTCCTCCCAGTGCTGCTGCTCCTGCCGCTGCTGCTCCTGCTGCTCCTGCGTCTCTTGCACTTGTAGAGCCTGGGGGACCCCTGGCTGCTCGTGCCCCTTCTGCCGCTTGCATAGGCTCTGCTTCTGCTGCTGCTTCTTCTGCTCCTGCTTTTGCTGCGGAAGCTGTTTCTCGTCCTCCTGCTTGAGCGCCAGAAGGACGGCCATGAGCTGCTGCCTTTCGTCCTCGCTGCCTCTCCCCATCTGCAGCCTCGCCATCACCCGGTCTGAAAGCACCGTTTCCCCTCCCTCTGCCTCTGCCTCTGCCTCTGCCTCCGCCGCTGCTTTTGCCTCTGCCTCCGCCTCTGCCTCTTCCTCTGCCCCCGTCTCTGCCTCTGCCTCTGCCGCTGCCTCCTGCTGCTGTGCTTGCTGCAGGCGCAGGAAGCGTGCGAGGTGCGACAGCCCAGCCAGCATGCGCTGAATCTGCACCTCCCCGCTCGCGTCTTGCACAGCAGCAGCAGCATCATCATCAGCATCAACAGCCCCAGCAGGCTTATTCAAGTCTCGCAACTCCTCCCCCGCGCCCCCTCCACTCCGAGGGATCCCCGCATGCATCCCCATGGGCGCGGGTCCTCCCTGCGGCCCGCCCACGCAAGTCAGAAACGGTGCAATCAGCGGGTGCGGGTGAACCAAAGCCTCCTCCACCGTGAGCTCTCTCATGATGAGAGGCGGCTGTGTCTGCAGTTCGACAGATGCCGGTTGGTTGACGCGCAACGAGTCTCTCTCGTGAAAGAGAGGGCAGCTGGGCGACCAGACACGCCGCGTCGGCCGCGGCCCTCTAAGATGCTCTGGGATCCAACGCTGCGAGGCCGGCGGGAGCGGGAGCGTGGTGTGCGGCGGCGGCGCGAGTGGCGAAGGGAGGTCGTCCATTGCGAAGAGCGCAGCAGCGAGAGAGTCCGACGTGCAATGGACGAGAGAGTCCGACGTCGTCCCTCCGGCGGTGGCCGGGGTGGTGGCGCCGTCCCAGTTGACCACCACTGTGCTGCTATCGTCAGCCATAGATTTATCTTCGGGCGACGCGTGCCAGATGGAGTAGCAGGTGGAGGCGGGTCGAGTTCGAAAAGTAAGCTCTAGTAGAGTATGGCGACGTTTCACCTTTAGAATTCGGAGAAGGCGACTTTTCAAGAACTGGCGGTTGAGCCTGTGAGCGGGTCTTTTTGATGCCGCTGAAATGGGAAACGCTGGACGATGATGTGAGGAGAGCGGTCGCGATTAATCAGTGAAAATCAGCACAACTGGCATGAAATGGAAGGAGGATGCGGAGCTGGTCGGGAGAACAACTCTCTTTGCGAGATGTTACTAAATCCTGGAAAGTTTAGAACGATGGCATCGTGATCTTTATCGATGTAATTCGATTCAACCCAGATTTCGCGAACAAACTGACCATCTGCGGGACACGTGAGAGAGTAAGACGGGGGCGTGCCCGAGAGTGTTTTAACTGGCGCACGTACTGTATCCTAACGTGCAGGCGACACTCTTTACCGCGTTTGTTGCAATCGCCGCGCGGAGCCACCCCACCATCGGGTGATCCTTCCCTGGGCCGGGCCGGGAACGGGTACATTTTTTAGTCGACTCCGAGTCGAAATTGGGCCAGGGACGTTCGTCACGTCCCACCCCGACACATGATTACGATTCGCGAAGCGCCGACGAGCTCTCGCTGTGACACTCTCGCCGACGAGCTCTCGCTGTTCTTGACGACAGTCGACCGCCATCGTGTGGGTGGCACACAACAACCTCGATGTCGTGGCGGCACAACTATTCCACCACTAGTGGTTACGCGTAGCAGCTCGTACACTGTACCACTAATACACTGTTCGGTGTACGACAGTGAACTCCACCGAATGCGGTAGCAATCGACTCGACTGTATCACATCCGAGATTCGAATATATGTGCGCTGGCAACGGTCAACTGCTTCGCACGCTGCAATTCATGATACAGAGGGGGAAGCTTGAGCTGAAAGCGCTGGATGTCAGAGAATGGCATGAGCTGGAAGCTTGAGCTGAAAGCCAGTGAGCTGGAAGGCAGTGAGACGGGACAGGAAGCCATGACCAGTTCGGAACTGGAAGCGCCAGCTGGAGCCCACTCAGTGCGCCAACACAGAAACTACTGTACTCTAGACTAGAAGGCCGGGAGGGGAGGCCGAACAAAAATTGACGGTGACCAAAATCGAGGCCGAAGGTCTAACTACTTCCAGGCCCACAAGGAGGGCTACGGCTGAGACACGAAAGCTGGCGAAGCAGCATGCAGTTTCGCGACAAGCTTCGTGTGGAATGGCGACACTTGCCGAAACGAGTCTTCGTGTTTCGGAGTGCTGTTAGGAAGTTACAAACTGCAATGCTTGCCCACGTGACAATGACGAGTTCGTCAACCTCATTGATTCACATCCAGCAAGCTGACACCTAATTGCGCGTACAGCACAAGCTACACTCCAACCAGCCAAAATCCAGCATATGGAACTGCTTATCTGGTAGGTATGATGCCTGACATAGTCACGCCAACAGTCGGCTAAAATCTTGCCGCAATTAGCGGCTAACTTTCACAATCACGACTGTGCGGGTCGCCTTGACGGCCCGGATTGCCAGGACACGGCGCAGCCGTGCACAGTGGCAGGACATCATCGCGTCCTATCACGTCCCACCTTCTGCATAGCACAGCACATCGCGGCGCGCGCACGCGCTCCCCTCCACAGCGATAGTGGGCAGCTCGCCGTCGCGCCCATCACGTCAGTCGCAACTAAGGGCGCGACGGGAGCCACGAAACGAGAAATACGCGGTGGGCCCATGGCGTAGTTAAAAAAAAAAAAAGGCAGGCCAGGATGTTACGTGCTCTGTACCATATCAAGAATAGTAGTTGAGGGGCCTAGGGTTTGACCTAGGCGAGAGTGACGAGAGAAAAGTGCAAGCCAAAAAGAGGGCTTCACTAATGAGAATAGCAAGTACAAATAGGTAAACAGCAACACAAGGAGGTGCACCACCAAACATGATGCAATATCTACACTACAACTGCAAACGATTATATAAAATATGTAAACATATTTTGACACAATGAACTCCCTTACTACCGACCTGGCTAACATGAATGCTTTCCTTTCGCAGAGAGGCGCTCGCCGCCAAAGATGCTGCAACCAAGTTGACGGACTTGGAAATCGTTAACAAGGGAGTTCGGGCGATAGCGACGATGCTGTGGCAGAGCTCCAACCACCACAGGCGTTTCCGCCAACTTCAAGAAGTTGTCTGCGAGACGAACCTCGAGCTGCAGGGCATTCATGACGTGCGTTGGCTATCACGGGGAGAGGCGGTGAAGAGGTTCGCGAAAGTGCTTCCGGCGACTGTGTTCTTGCTGCACGAGAAGGATAAAAAGATGTACGAGACCTGCACGTCTTTCAAATTTCACTTTCTCGTCTACTTCCTTGCAGATTTGCTGGCGATCCTGAACGAGTTGAACGCCAAATTCCAGAAGCTTCAGGTAATGTTTTCATTTTGCAGGCGGTATCTGATAAGTCACTAAAAAACCCAACGACTAAAATTGTCTTGTGTCTCTAAACCTGGCAGGTGGACATTACAGTCGTCGCAAGTGAAGTTTCTGTCAAACATTATATATGTTGTTGTAGTTGTTTAGGCTACAGTGGGTTAGCCTATAGGGGGTACACATTTCTAGGTTTTCATACTTGTACTCATTTTACTGTTAGTTCATTCATCCTTGTTCAACATGGTATAGAGCATGTCCTTCCTAGGACCGATTTTTTTTAGGGCCCACCACTACCTACCTACCTACCTACCTACGCCCTAGGGCGCCTCGGCTTTCACGCCCCCAAAGGCCCCGTCGGCTTCGCGCTCTCGCACCTAGAGACCTCGGTCGGCCCCGCGCTCGCTTTTAGAGGCCCCGAATCGGCCCCGCGCTTACCCCTAGAGGCCCGTGTCGGCCCCGCGCTCGTCCTTAACGGCCTCGAAACGGCCCCGCGCTTACCCCTAGAGGCCCGCGTTGGCCCCGCGATCGTCCTTTCCGGCCCCGATCGGCCCCGCGCTCGTCCCTCCCGGCCCCGATAGGCCCCGCGCTAGCCCTTAGAGGCCCACGTCGGCCCCGCGCTCGTCCCTTACGGCCCTGATCGGCCCCGCGCTCGTCCCTTACGGCCCCGATCGGCCCCGCGCTCGTCCCTTACGGCTCCGTCGGCCCCGCGCTCGTCCCTTATGTCAGAACATGTCTATAGCTTATACTGCTGTGTAGGCTGTAGTGGGGTATCCCATAGGGGGTACAACCCAGTTAGGGTTTCACATTTGTACTGCTTTCACTCATAGTTCACATCATTCCTGCTTACTCATTTCACATGGTATAGAGCTAGGTCCCTCCAGGACCAAATTTTTTTTTGGGCCCACCGAAGCGCGCCCCTGAGGCGCAATTTTTTTAGCGACCTCTCGAGTCGCCCTCTCCCCTGCGGCCTCGCCGCCCACTCTGTCGCGGCCCCGCCCTGCTCCTTACGCGGCCCCGCCGCCTGCTCCTTACGCGGCCCCACCCCGGCCCTTACGCGGCCCCGCGTCGCCTCCTACGCGGCCCTTACGCGGCCCCGCGCCGGCCCCTTACGCGGCCCTTACGCGGCCCTTACGCGGCCACGCCGCCGGCTCCTTACGCGGCCCCGCGCCGGCCCCTTACGCGGCCCTTACGCGGCCCTTACGCGGCCACGCCGCCAGCTCCTACGCGGCCCCGCGCCGGCTCCTTACGCGGCCCGTCCCCGGCCCTTACGCGGCTCCGCGCCGGCTCCTACGCGGCTCTTACGCGGCCCCGCGCCGGCCCCCCCCTTACACGGCCCTGACGCGGCCACGCCGCCGGCTCCTACGCGGCCCCGCGCCGGCTCTCACGCGGCCCCGCAGCTGGCTCCTACTCGGCCCCGCAGCCGGCCTCTTAAGCGGCCCCACCGCCGGCCTCCTACTCGGCCCTGCCCCGGCTCCTTCGCGGCCCTGCCCCGGCTCCTACGCGGCCCTACCGCCGGCCCTGACGCGGCCCCGCCCCGTCTCACTTCTACGCGACCCGAGCCGCCTGTCGCCGAGCAGCCCGGGACCCGAACCGCCCTGCAGCCGAGCCGCCCGGGAGCCGAGCCGCCCTGCACCCGAGCCGCCCTGCAGCCGAGCCGCCCGGGAGCCGAGCCGCCCTGCACCCGAGCCGCCCTGCCGTCGAGCCGCCCGGGAGCCGATCCGCTGTACACCCGAGCCGCCCGGTCGCCGTTCTGCTTTTCTGTCGAGCTGCGCGACCTGCCCTGCCTGGTGAGCACAGTCCCACTGTCACTGCGTGCTCTCCCCCCTACTGCTTGCACTGCTTCACAGTCGTCGTCATGGCTACCCCTAGTGTCCTAGCTTTTGACGCTGAGGGTCGCGCCATTGATTTTGAGGTCTGGCTAGACGACCTGCAGCTGTTCTTACAGTGCGACAGGGCTGATGACCTTTCTCTCTTTGACCTCACCTCTGGCGCCTCTCCTGCTCCTGCTGCTGATGCTGATCCCGCTGTCCGCTCTAAGTGGGCCACCCGCGATGCTGCTGCACGTCTTGCTGTGCGTCGCCACCTCCCTACCTCTGAGCGTGCGCACTTTAGTCAGTACAAGAGTGCTCAGACCTTGTACGACGCTGTAGTTGCGCGCTACTCCTCCCCTGCCACTGCTGCACTGAGCCGTCTCATGCTTCCCTACCTCTTTCCTAACCTCTCTGCCTTTCCCAATGTCGCTGACCTCATTACGCACCTCCGCACTAGTGACACTCGCTACCGCGCCGCCCTTCCTGCTGAGTTCTGCGCTAGGAACCCCCCTCCCATGTACATCGCTCTCTACTACGTAGTCGCGCGCCTCCCTGACTCCCTTCGCGTCGTCAGGGACCACTTTCTCGCAGTCTGTCCCACCACTCTCACCGTCGACCTCCTCGAGAAGGCCCTCCTTGCAGCGGAGAAGAGCATAGTCGCTGTAGGTGCTTCTCGTGGTGACCCTCGCACCCCCATCTTTGAGGGGTGCTCTCCTTCC